AGCTGCTAGCTGATCACTGCCAGGCTGGGGCCTTGCTACAAGGGCTGAGAGGGTGCTAGGACTATGGGGGAAGTGGCTCAGGGAAAATAGGCAGCAGGTTGGAGGAGAGCAGTAGGTGGCTGCCGGCTATAGGGTCCCTGGGTTAGGACCCAGAGTAGCGGGCAGGCCTGGGTCCCCTCCCCCCATTGATCCCCACATGCCAATGAGGAGAGTGTCTGGTGTCCAGGCTGCAATTTGCCCCTGAGACAACGGCCTGGACCTTGGACTGCAGTTGGATGCTGAGGCAAGTGGCGGGACTAAGGACAGCCAGTCCCCTGGAGGGGGGAGATACTGGAATGGGGGCACACCTGGAGGACCATGCCCAGAAGAGCATGCTGTGGTCCGGGGAGCGACGTGGGTACAAAGAGTGGAGACAGCGGTGACCACAGGCATGACACCACTAGCTGAAGGCAGACTGGAAGGGCCGAGAGCTAATTCCCAGGATGGCCAGCAGGAAGGGCCATGGTGGTGAGTCCCGCTTTGTCACACCACCAATCAAAATAATCAATTATTTGCTTAGCTCTACTTAAATGCCTATGGGTGAATTTCACTCACTGTATAGCTGACATCAATGATTCACAAATTATCTCTGCTCCTTGGCTGAATTATTCCTAAATCCACTGGCCAGTTCTGAGATGAGTATGCAGGTGACTATATAGTCACATGTATTCACAGCTCTTTCCTAAAACTTTCTTGCAAATAAAATTTATTCACACAATTGGTCACAGAAAACTAATTTGCAGTTCTTTATAAACTAACAAATTTACAGTTTGTATTCATATGTTTGCAATTTTCCCCCAGCAATATTTACCCAGTTCTAGTAAGGACCTTCTTTTTGTGTTTACTGATCTTTAGTTATTTGTGAAATTTTATCACTGTGTTAAGCGCAGCTGTTTGCATTTCATAGAGTAAATTAGTTCTCTCACAACACCCTTATTAAATTTGGTAGCTATATATAACCATTTTGCTGAAAGGTAAACTGAGGTACAGAGTGATTTCATGATGTAAGGTCACATGATGTAAGTAACCAGAGCTAGTGTGTGAATAATATAAAAAGTCTAGAAAGAGCTTATTTAATAAAAATAATTAGCACCATCAATGAGCAATAAACTTGGACAAAAGTTGGTCTCTGGGAGACGTTAAAAAATACTCCAGAAAAGCATGTCCCGCGAATGGGAATATCTGCAGTAATTAACAGGAAAACCTAGTTTGCCAAAATTTGCAAAGCAAGTGGTATGTATGCAGTCAAAGAAATGAATGATGCAAGCCCCATACTATATGAACTGTTTGTTGGAACTCTGTCCCACGTCAATACCAAGGAAAATAAAAGAATGGAAAGTAACTCTGGAATTGAATAAAGACCCTGTCATAGTTAAACTTGATACTTGGCATCCAAACCTGTATATTGCCAGAAAGGAAAAAGAGTACAAGAATAAATCCAAGATGGAAAAAGCAAAAGTAAAATTAGCAACATAGAGTGGAAAGAAATAATTGGGTTACTGGGATATCAACATTTGAGTATTTTATTTATATATATATATATATATATATATATATATATATATATATATAT